ACACATACAGACACACACCTTGCATCCCTTATGCATACAAACACAGATTCACACAATGCATCCCTTACACACAACCAGAAACACATAATACATCCCTTATACACAAATATACACTCCTCCCACACACAAAAACACACTACATCACCTGCACAAACTGGTAACCCTATACACTACATACCATAAGCACAAATATTAGATCCTCTACAATAACACATAACACATCCCCTACACACTCCACTCCCTGTGAGCGAACTCATGGGTGGGTGGAACTTATGAGTGGGCCTTATGGGCATACTCACCGTCAGGCCCTGGGGCCCAGACCTTGAGCTGTGTAAGGGGCCCCAAAAAATGGAGCTGCTTCCAATTCTCCCAGAACATTGAATTTTGTGACCACAGTTGCAAACAGCCTCCAGAGATCCTGTTCTACACCAGACCAGTGGAGCCAAACTGCAGCCCATCATCATCCTCATCTGCTTGTAAGTAGGCAATCTAGTATATTATTAATGACACTAATCTATAATGTACCTCACATTAAAGGGACACTATAGCTTAATGAAGTGGTTCTAGTGTCTATAGCTGGTCCCTGCAGGCTTTTTAATGTAAACACACACTGTGTGCAGCACTGGCGTTAGTTCATATGGGTGGGGCATTGTGATGTCACATGGGGGGGCAGCAAATTTTTATTTTGTCTAGGGCGGCAAAAATCCTTGCACCGGCTCTGATCCTGGGCAGGTGCACCAGTCTACTGGTGACCCACAGGAGGGGAGTGCACTGATTGCACTGCACTCTCCTCCTGCCCAGCCCCATCTTTACCGCAGTGCAAGTGGAGCTACGGGCTAGAGTTCACTCTCACCACTTCCTGGTGGTCCCAGTAGTAGGAGTGAACTCTAGCCCCATACACACACTGCCCCACACACACACCATACACATTCACACACTGCCCCCCCCCCCACACACACACACACACACCATACACATTTACATACTGCCCACCCACACACTGAACCTTTCACACACATTGCACCACTGCTCCTATACCCTACTACAGCCCCATATCCGAGCAGACTCCAGGTAAGGTGTCAAACTGTTCTTAAACGGTTTGACGACTTACTCTGGGAGGGGGTGCCGACGCTCCTGGCACCATAACCACTACACAGAGGAGTAGTGGTTATTGTGCATGGAATATTTCTTTAAATAATCTACAAGTGCCCCTCTCAGGCTCAGGCTCTGGATCCGCCATTAGTATATGACATGTATATTAATGTGTGTATTAGTTTTATATCTCTATTATATTTACACATATTAATGTACATTTATAAATGCATAATACACAGAGAAATTTCATTAATATGTACCATATGTAATGAGCAGATATTGGCCCAGTCTTGTTGCTAGGTGCATACTCCAGCACAATAACATATTTAAAGTGAAGAGCACACCCACAGGACTTCAAAATAAACATTTTTTTCAGTTGTGCCCTACATACATTCACCATTTCAGTCCCATTAACAAGCTTTCCTTAATATGTCAAGGTAGTTGGACTGAAACATTGATTACATGCAAAGGCACGTCTGCTTAAAATAAATCTGCACTTTTGTTTATTTTGAAGCCTATGAGTGCGCTTTTTACGTTGAAGTACTTTTTAATTTTAAGTTATCTGTTCTAACTCTGTATCTGCACACTATGCTGGCGCGATGCATTATGGGGCTGGTAAATATTTTTTTTCCAGGGCTGCTTTTAATTCCCAGTCCGGCCCTGGGAACACATCCAGTTGCAGTCACTCAGAGTGAACCAGAGGGACTTCGGATTTGATGGAGGCATAATATGCCTCCATCCACTCAGATCTGCTGTGCACGAGCATCCTGTGATTCAGTATCTCCTCCCACTGCATGCAGAAACTTAACTTTCCTCATAAAGATTAATTGATTCAATTCATCTCTATGAGGAAATGCTGATTGGCCAGGGCTGTGTTTGAATTGTGCTGGCTCTGCCCCTGATCTGCCTCCTTGTCAGTCTCAGCCGATCCTATGGGAAAGCATTGTGATTTGATCAGGCTACCACTTCTGATGATGTCAGCAGACTGGTTTTTTTTTTGGGGGGGGGGGGTTTAGGCAAACAGCATGCAGAGTTACAGCTTCTGGCTTGAATACAGTAAGATTTTTACTATATTTATGGAGGCATGAGGGGCCCAGGGGGCTTAATGGTGGTGTTAACATTATAGGGTCAGGAATACATGTAGTTGCACTGGTGACTAGTGTCCCTTTAACTATTTCTTTGCTGCTGGAGGTTTCTGTAAAGAAGGTAAAGCAAATATGAAGCCTCCTGTCTTGCCATAGAATTATGCAAACCTGATATAGGACCCTTTAAAACGGAGGTGTTAAACATGCAGTCCAAGAGTCGGTAAATTTATAGGAACTTAGTCACGACACTTTCAACTGTATTTATTGCCTGTGAATCATGCACTAGAACATTATGTGCACCGCCAGATAAAACGGATACACAGGGTGATCAAGGGTACATTTAAATCCCTTCTGCTGCTGGAGAATTGAGCATTTGACCACTCACTTACCTCTCTCTACCTGCTCCCTTACCATGCGCTGAAGAGCTGGATATAAATAATGTGATATCCCAGTATTTGGTATCTTACAGGACATGCAGAACAGTGTGAAGGAGCAGGGAGACAGAACTGAGCAATACAATTCTAAACTGCCAAGGATGAGCCTCTCACCGCATAGAAAGATATGAAAGTGTGAGTGAGGGTCTCTCATATATTGGGGGTAATCAGAGTATCAAAGGGCTTCTGAGTATTAAAACATTATTTCAAAATTAAAGCTAAAATAGCTGTATTGGAGAATTCTCTAAGTATGCTATGCTTCTGGTTTGACCTGAACTTTGAATTCTCACTTTATTGAATAATCCTGATTTAGTGAATAATGTATTCTCCATTCCAAAAACAATTAAACCTTTTGACCCAGTATACATGCCTAAAATATACCAACTACATGAGTGGGTGTTTGAATATTTTCAACAAATAGAAGTACCTAGTAGAACGGGCAGTGAGTGAATGTTGCAATATCATTTATACAAGTGCACAATCCAGTTTTAAACCTTTCAAGGCTTCTTAAAAACACGTCAAGTAAAAAATAAGTGCATCTGGCCCACCACTACATAAAGTACCCATGTATCTGCGGGTCTTAACCAACCTTAACATGGGGCGGTGGCAAAAATTGATACTTTATTATTAACGTCACTACCAAAACAGATATATGCCACGATAATGTTTTCAGGGTAAATGAGTGTGGGGCAGTGGGACGCTTTTTTTTATGTCAAGTCGAACCCTCAACCAATCTCCTTTGATTACGAACACTCGTTCACATGGGTTCAATCAGATTATTTCTCATATGCAACATAGCAATTTATGATTACATTTATTTTAATGACATATGAAGCAAAACAACATATTCAGAAAATTATTAATTTATTGGTTCATTGCAAATTAAATGCCCATTGCAACAGTAAAACTTTGTACACATGCTTATATATACATACACAGACATACATATTACAAACGGGAAGGATATGTACACAAAAATATTTAAATTAAAAACATTAACATCCATATTGCATAAACATTTTTTTTATGTAACTATACAAAAAAAATAACATTTGATATAGTCTTGCATCAATGCCCTTTATGTATGTTTGTCTTGTTTTTTGATATGCCGTTGTGTGTCTGACTCTAGTGTCTCTTACAATAACATTCGGCAAAAAGTGTTTACTCATAACTTGCTTGGATAACTTCTAAGTGCTTGTTCAGAATATTACAAAATATGACACATATTTTCGACTGCTTTCAATTTCAGAAATTTCTGTGACAGTTGTTATTTGTGTATGAAAGAAAGAAGTTATTTGCCCTGCATTGCCGAGAACCTGTCAGGACTTTCATAATAAGATTGCACTCTATACAGTTCTAAAGGGGTTACTAAACAAAGCATACATTGAAAAATATCACTCATATAAATAAAATATCAGTAAACTTAATGAATAGAGTCACAGACCTCAAATATATTTATTTTTCAACCTTTTAGTGCAACTATTTCCAACTAACAAGACATCCAGTTCTATTAGTCTGTTTGATATCCCTATAACACGTCTGTGCTTTTTCCCCACTGTAGGACAAACAACAGAACAGATATACAAAAAGTCATATATAGGGATTATATCACCAAACCGTGAGCTATGACCAGTTGAGATGACTTGTAAAATATAAAATCAGTCTCCATCTCCTCTGTATCTAGACCTAAATTATTAAGTTTTGTTTTAGCTCATCATTACTCACTGATTAGTGAAAAGACGCACAGGGTAGCTAGATCCAAACAGTGTCTGAGAAGACATATGTCTTTGTATACAGCTGATCGCATGTATGTTCTATAAAGGTTCATATAGAAAAAACACAATCTATCAACTGGTAACCAGTGTGTTTGTATAATAAGTCTGTTCGCTACACCTGTTGTACTATCTAGCTATTCTCCTTTCTCAAATGGTCTTGGCTCCACTCAGATAGGTATACCTGTATATATCTGCATGCATCTGTAAAGAATTCATGGTGGTACTGCAATAAATGATGGAAAGACACTGCTTTTTCTATTTAGCTAACTCAGATTCACAGGTATACTACTCCACATTCCCCGTCAATGCTGTCATCACTCAGGTAAATGCTTCTCGCTGTGCTGTGAGTGAGATTCACGAACATCTGAAGAGCTCGTTCTATCAGCAGGTGCACGGACGCACTGCCTTCACACAGCAGAGAGCCTGGATCGTATTTGGCGTGACATGCTCAGCTTCGTAATTTGGTTAATAAAAACACTTGATTAATCAGTTACTTGTTTCCACATTATTTACATGGATTGGACAAGAATCCCCTTCTGTGCTGGATCCCGTGTCTGAGTTGGTTGGCTGCACCGATGCTTCGTATGAGGGTGGAAGCTCTTGGCTGGAGTAGGTTTCATTCACAATGTCCATGGAGCTCTCTGTGTATAAAGGAGGAGGAATATTCAGGTATTCTTCAGCTGCAATTACATCATTGCTGTCTGGTTGTAGCTGAATTTCTTGAATTACACTGTCATATGAGGGTGGATAGAAATCTGGTCTGAAATGATAAAACAAGCAAGTTAAATATATTGGATGATATAACGCAAGCATTACATGAATAATGTTAAATAGGCTTTGGCACCCGGCATTACAAGAAAACTACAGCTTGAGTGCAAGGAATTTCTATTATATGTATATATATATACATATATATACACATTCACACATATAAAAAACATATATCCAATTAAAGAACCCTTGTATGCCCACACATATATGTGCAGTATTATTACGCCAAAAACTTACAGGGTTATTTACTAAAGTGAATTTCAAATTTGAGGCCAGAGCAGCAGATGTGAAAGCATAGTTAACTGCAAATTTTAAAATTCACTTTGACATCTCACTTCAGTAAATAACTATATAACAATTAAGTGAGAAGAAGCAATGAATAAAAACAGTTTGGGAGGTAATTCTGTATAAAATACAATTTGGAAGAAATTTACTGTTAAAGATCTAGAACAGGGATAGGCAACCTTCAGCACCCCAGATGTTGTGGACTACATCTCCCTTGATGCTTTGCCAGCATTGTGGCTGGAAGAGCATTATGGGAGATGTAGTCCAAAATATCTGGAGTGCCAAAGGTTGCCTGCCCCTGATCTAGAACAATGCAATTTGGTAGAACCGAGAAACAATATTTTTAGTTGTGGTAAAACATTTTGTTTGATTACATTTTGGAAGTATTTTAGATTAAGCTTAGCTCAGCCTAGACTTTTTCCAAGTTCAACAAAATGAATATTATTGCGTTAGGTAATAATAACATCTAAAGCTCAGTACATACTGGAAAACTAGCAATAGATAAATCCTTCCTCCCTAGTTAAATACTTTTATATTATTATTAACATACCTGTCTATTGTCTCAATATGTACTTCTTGTTGACTGTGGATTCGCCTGATCATATTATGAAACAGACTTTTGTGGTTGGCCTCATGATATGTGCTCCAAAAAACTCCAACTAAAAGCAGAATAAATCCTGCTGGCAACAAAGTGTATGCCACGATTATCTCTCTTTTACAATTACACACATAGCTGGAAGATACAAAGAAGGCTCCCAGGCAGACCAGAGAGAACCCAATAATTAGTAGGGAGAACCGAAGCACTGTGTACGCGCTTGTTTTTATCTTCATGTTTGACAGCTGTGAGGCTTGACACTGCTAAGACGAAGTAACTTGCACGTCTGTTCATTCAGTAGATTTATATGTTAGGTAGAGAGGAGGCCTTTGGACATTGATTGATAAGAGTCAATGGCAGGATATTCATTAACCACACAAAAGTGTTACTTAGAGGTGATACCCACTAGGATTAGCCTTTAATCAAATGGTTAACAAACAAGACCTCAATCTTTTATATACAAAGCCTTTTGCCTGATTTAGTTTAGGAAATGGGATTGTGAAATTTTATACAACTCCCTATTTTTAACATATTAAATGCACTGTCCTTAGTTTACAGGCAATAGTAAAATGCCAAGTTTCTGTGAATACAATTTGGCTGCTGTAAAAATAACTATAAACCAATCATATTTAAGCAAACAATAGAGCAATGCTGTAAAGCAGGGGTCCTCAAACTCCTGCCCCCCAGATGTTGCTGAACTACAACTCCCATGATTCTTTGAATTACATAGATAGCCAGAGAATCCTATGATGTAAAGTATGGAACTGCTTGGTTTGCTGATCCATTGTTCACAATGGGCTTCCAAAAATGTTTTTCCAAGTAGCAGATATAGTATAGAGTTTGATTTAAATGTATCAGTTGATTTGTACTGTTTGCAAAGAGTGATACGTCTAGTGGGCTAAAGCCAACAAAAAATACATACATACAGAAGGGGAAAGAATTTTTAAAAAATATTTTAAAATATTTTTTAAAAATATTTACCAATAGTAAATTAAAAACTGTCCAAAATGTAAGTGTCGTGAGACAGTAAAGTGTAATGATGTTGATGAATTTTACAACAATAATATACAAAATATGCACAGCTAAATTAGCTGATATCTGTACGATCCCCAAATAATATGCATAAATTGTTTTCCAAACATAGAATTTGATGGCAGATAAGAACCATTTGGCCCATCTAGTCTGCTCAATAAACTGGCAGAACAGGGATGCACCAATATTTTCGACTGAAAACGGGTCAAATTTGCCAAAAAATAAATAAAATAAAATAAAAAATATATATATATATACACAGTTGCAAGAAAAAGTATGTGAACCCTTTGGAATGATATGGATTTCTGCACAAATTGGTCATAAAATGTGATCTGATCATCATCTAAGTCACAACATTAGACAATCTAATGTATATATATATATATCCAAATAGGTTATGGTGGGGAAAAATTGTGATTGAAAACCCCTTCCACCTGAAGTTTGTGGATAGTTAATACAATGTTAAACAAAAATCTGCACACCATGCCATAAAACTTGCTTTTCCCACAGAAATCACAAATCTGCAGTGATGTTACTAACGCAAAGGATTCTGGGTGGGCATATGCAAATTAGTTTGACAAAGAATCACTTTTTTGCCTCATTCCATTTTAACCCCTTCAGGATGGAGTCAATAGTGCACGTTCTGATCAAAACAAAACATAAACAAAAACTGGAATTTGCGCTATATGTCTGTTCAACTGTAATTCACCGCTGTCACATTAAGTACACCCACACTTATTATATATCATTTTGTTCAGGAGAAACAGGGCTTTAATTTATCATTAACTATTCATATATGGAACATAATTTATTATGAATAAGATTTTTTTAAAAGTGAGAAAATAAGATTTTTTTTTAATTTTGTATTTCCGTCTGACATTTTAGCTGTGAATGTCATAATACTGTTAGGTTTTACTGCAATAAAATGCACATATTTGTAATCAGCGATGTTTCACGAGTACAACAGTACCCCCCATTAACAGGTTTTATGGTGTTTTGGAAAGTTACAGGGTCAAATATAGAACGTTCCATTTTCACATTGAAATTTGGCAGATTAGTAATGTTACCTTTGAGACGGTGTGGTAGCCCAGGAATGAAAATTGCCCCCATAATGGCATACCATTTGAAAAAGTAGACAACCCAAGGTATTGAAAGTGGGGTATGTTTAGTCTTTTTTAGTAGCCACTTAGTCACAAACACTGGCCAAAGTTAGCGTTTATATTTGTTTTTGTGTGAAAAAAGCAAAAAAATAATATTTGGCCAGTGTTTGTGACTAAGTGGCTACTCAGAAAGACTGCACATACCCCACTTGCAATACCTTGGGTTGTCTACTTTTGCAAATGGTATGCCATCGTGGGGGTAATTCTCATTCCTGGCCTACCATACGCTCTCAAAGGCAACATAACCAATCTGGCAAATTTCAATGTCAAAAAAATGAAATGCAAGCCTTATATGTGACTCTCTAACTTTCAAAAACACCATATAACCTGTATATGGGGGGTACTGTTATTCTCGGGAGACTTCACTAAACACAAATATTAGTGTTTTAAAACAGTAAAACATATTACAACAATAATATAGTCCATAAAAATGACGTTTGTTTGTAAAAAATGCAAAAAACTTCACTTTTACTTAAAATATCATAGTTGTAATACAATTTACCAATTTGAAGCACTAATATTTGAGTTCAGCGAAGTCTCCTGAGTAAAACAGTACCCCCTATGTACAGGTTTTATGGTGTCTTGGAGAGTTACAGGGTCAAATATAGTGCTTGCGAATTAAATTCTCTGCACTTTCTCCCTCTGTTGTCAGGCATGTCAATCAAATTTAATTAATCAAATCACATAATTACGTTAAAATATTACTTAAATATATACATAGAATTTTAATATATATGCATTTATAGGTATTTAAATTCTATGTGTATACTAATGTAATCTTTTATGTAATTATATGTATTTATCTATATATCTATATATCTCTCTCTCTATATATATATATATATATATATATATATATATATATGCGGTTATTTGTATTTTATATATCGATAGAGTGTATTTTATATATCGATAGAGATATAAGTGTATTTTGTTACCAATATATATATTAATAAAAATACAGTTAGAATGAAATTACATATGAATATATAATTTATATTACATTTTGTTTCAATATTTTATTTATTTATTTTATTATTTAATTTATTTATTATTGTAATTATATGTATATATATATATATATATATAATATATGTGTATATCTATTATATATATAATATATATACATATTATATATATATGTAACGTCATTCTAAGTGTATTTTAATATTAATATATGTACTTATATTAATATTAAAATACACTTTGTATGACGTTACATATATATAATATGTATATATATTATATATACATATATTATATATATAAATAAATTTCGATTTTATTTTAAACATGTTTAATTCTTTTTTTTTTTTTTTACTTTCCCACCAGCAGGGGGACTGTTTGACATTTCAGACAGTCCCCCTGCAGGCAGATCCACAGCCAGCTATAGGAGGCCATGTGATCGCTCTTTGAGAGCAATCACATGGCCCCCGGGGCATCATTTGTCGGGGAAGGGCTACCAGGGCTGTCAGGCAGCCCTTCAGAAGAGGATCGGGTCGGAGGTAAGTCCACCGGACCTCCAGGGGCAGAAAGCCGTTACGGCGTTCCATGCCGCTGCAACGGCTTTAAAGCCCTTTTAATGCGGGACAGCATAGAACGCCGTAATGTATGTGTGTATGTATATATATATATATATATATATATATATAGTATGTATATAATGGCACTCACCCTTACTGATATACTGTGAAATCCAATGCCGTGGTGCAATCCCACGCTGAAATAATATAGTAAATGGGTATGAAGGATGCACTCTTCGGTCTTTAAATTTTCCAGAATTATTTATTTCATTATTTAAAATGTGACAAGTTGATCGATGTTTCGACCCGAAACAATTATGTTAATACAATGTTAAACAAAAATCTGCACACCAGTCAAGCCATAAGACTTGCTTTTCCCACAGAAATCCCATAACTGCAGCGATGTTACAACCGCAAAGTATTCTGGGTGGGCATATGCAAATTAGTTTAACAAAGAATCACATTTTTGCCTCATTTTAAACATGGATTACTTTCAGTCTGTGTTTGCATCTTTTCCTAAGTTATGTTCCAAGCTGTTGTATACAGCAAACACAGACTGAAAGGAATCCATGTTTAAAATGGAATGTGGCAAACGTTGTTAAACTAATTTGCATATGCTCACCCAGAATCCTTTGCAGTAGTAACATCACTGCAGATTTGTGATTTCTGTGGGAAAAGCAAGTCTTATGGCTTGACTGGTGTGCAGATTTTTGTTTAACATTGTATTAACTATATATATATATATATACATACACACATACATACATTTTTTTTTATATATTATATTTTTGTAGTGCATAATTTAACAGACATGCTTGCATTAACAATTCAGATGATTATATATCACAATGAAAGATAGTAATGATAACATGAAAAGTCAAGAATACTGCACTATGGGACAGGGATGGGGGGGGGACACTATGGGACTGGGGAGGAGGGAGGCAAGAACACTAAAAAAGTGGGAGGGGAGAGGAACACTGTTGGGGGGGGGAGGACCACTAAAAGAGAAGGGAGAAGGGAAGTTTTTCATGTTAAATGAAGTCAATTCATTAAAAAGACTAATATTAATATAATTATAGGGAAAAGCTTTTTTAAAATCATTTGGGGGGGAAAAAGTCATTTTCGGTTTTCGCCCAAGGGCATCCTGAATTTTCGGTTTCGCCCCGGAATTTTCTTTTTGGTGCATCCCTACTACACGGACAGCTGAAATAGGCAGACACCTCTCTAGATTACAATTTTACTATGCTACGCCATGGTCACCTTTCAGTGCTTCATAAAATGCAATCTTTATTAAATCTTGACTGCATAGGGGCTACTTTGTCTTATGGTAAATGACTCTCCTTTACCTTATTACACAAAATATTGGGAGAGAGATTTAAATCACTCCTTCTTTCCAGGCATATGGTGGAAACTATTCCTCCTTACTCATAAATCCTCCATAAGCACTGGGTACCAAGAATCCAGTAACAAAATGCTCTCTAATTGGTACAAAACACACTAGACAAACTTTCTCAGCTGATTGTGACCCACAATGCTGAAGATTTAAATGGGAG